CATAGGTTGGACAGACGCAAGTTGAACTGAGAACCCTCGTTTCACCCCCACATACACAATGTAATAATAATTATTAATAATCCTTATATTGGACATAGCGCCCTTTAGGTGGGAGGACGTCTCAAAAAACTGCTCGGTGCAGCGATGTGGCCATCAGATGTTTGTTGATCATCGCGCCAATGCATTTTATGAAACCGGAGACACCAGAGAATCGGTGCTGATTCATATCCAGGTTTAAAAATAATTGTTTAATGTAATATTGGAACCATTCTAAACCGATAGGTAGCTCCGAAGACAAATGGCGCGTTCAATCGGGACAGAGGGGATTGCAAGAGTATTAAATGTTGCAGCAGACTGAAATAAATAGTGGCAAGCATATTAATTATATGATAAGGACGAGAGCATACACCAATAATAAGGTGTTATATTATCAATTCATGTTGCAGCTTCGAGTTAGACCAGTGGGCGGGATGGAGATCAAGAGATCAATCGACCTCCTGGACTAACGTTAACTTTACTTTTCTTGTTGGTGTGGTCAGTGCAAGTGTAAAAAGAGACGGAATCGTGTGAAGCGCGAGAGAAGACAGGAAATTGTCTGAGTTGCTGCGAAGATAAACATATTAAAGTGTGAAATCGACAGTCAAGTAGCGTGTGTACTTTTGCACTTGAAGCGCTTCTTAAGAGAGATCCGTCTGGTCTGTGTGAATTGAACGCTCTCCTTCCTTGAGTCCGAATTCTGTTTGTCAACCTTATTTTTTATTTAAATCTGAATGAGTGAGTGACCAATTTTTTTATTATAATTTTTTTATTATAATGTTTATACGACATATGCAGTCAATTCACTTTACAGTGCATCCTGTGAAGCATTTTGAGATGTCTCAACGACGTGGCGAGGCGCTATATCAAACGCAAAGATTATTATTATTATCATCAACCGTCCTAAAATGGTCTTATTTTTAATTGAAAAAAATCAACCACTTTGCAAAGTAATTTTTTTTAAAAAAAATTAAACGGGATTAATTATTTGCTGACTGTTCCACAGCTTGGAAGCGGACTGTGTGTGTGTCTGCTCCTAGAATTGTGGCTCGACATTGGAATTGATACGAAACTTTTGCTTTGAATTTCTAAAGTGATTTGGTTATTCAATATCTCGCCGCAGCAATGCGTCAACGAATTAAACGAGATTGCTATTCCATTGATAACGAAAATAATTGGTAGATTTTAGTGGGCAAGGAACACATATAATAATAATAATAATAATAATAATAATAAAATAATAATAATAATTATCCTTGAGTTTGATATAACGCCTTGTCTGGTCTTCGAGGCGTCTCAAAGCGCTTCACAGAATATACTGTAAAGTGAATTGACTGTATTTTTTGTGGGCGAAACGCAATAAACCTTACTTTCCGGCCGATAAATGTATTAAGTGTAAAGGTGTGCAAGCGGAAATAATTATTTACTTTGAACGATTTGAAGATCGTGTCCATATAGACACACACACACACACATACACACCAAACACGCACAGAGACAGACTATCGTACCCACAAACAGCTAAGTGCACAAACAAACGCGCTCTCTCGGGCACATTGATTAATTAACCATTTTTTAAAAAAAAAATGAATTCTCATAAGTGTTGGGCACAAGTGAATAGGAACTCGCATTGTTCTGAAATCAAAGTTTCCGCGCTCCCCTCCCTTTTAATGCTTTGGCTTCCCCCAAATCCGAGGGGTTAATTAAACCGGTTTTGTCAGCGGCTCCACGGATTGTGGAAGTCAGATAATTGAGAATGTCAATGATGTTAATTGAAAAGCCAGGGTTTACCAATTACTTTTGAGAAATGTTCTGCTAATCATCCACCTTCTCCCTCCACCTCCCCCCACCCCCCCTCCCCACCACCCCACCACCACCTCTCCGTTAACTTCATGGGCTGGAGTTTCAAGCGTTCTGCCTCTAACGTTAAACTTGAATCCATAACTCGCTGACTCGCTCGATCCTCTGTTTCGCTCGTTCTATTAAAGTTGAGCCAGATAAGGAGGTGAAGTGATGGATGTGTCACGCTATTTTTTTTTTACCATTTCCCTTTTGACAAAGAACCATTAAAAACGAGGGACCAGTGTCGTTTCGATGTGCTCTGGTGCTAAGTCGCTTGGTGAATTCAAGTTGCACTGAAATTAAAGTCAATCGATTAATTGAGTGACTTGTCCTTTACTTGATCCGACAAGAAACGGGGCTGCATGTATAAACTGACAGGCGATATAAAATAGTACTATTATTATAATCCTTGCCGTTGACAGAAAGTACAGAGCAAAGCGACTGTGGGTAGTTGCTGCATTTTCGCCTGTAGCTCTGAATGTTAGAATAAACAGTGAACAGTGTACTATTCTATCATTTATTATTATTATTATGATTAATAAATTCCGGTTTCCTTTCGGATTTGTTTTGCCCGCTGTGCATAGAATGGATCAGCAATAAAGCGCCAATGTTTGCTTTTTTTCCTCCAGATGCCCCGAAAGTTTTTAGTTTTACCTCAACTGCGGTGGGGTGAGTGGGATTTACTTGTCACTAAGACAATCTGCGCGCCTTGTGTTTGCTCTCTGTGAAAAAAAATAAACCGAGGTTATCTCTCTCTAGAGAGAGAGAGAGAGAGATACCAAGCTGTTTTTTTTTTGATGTGTTTGAGAGAAAGTGGGCGAGTTATTATTATTCAACAGGTTGGCCGCCACGTCCCACAATGAAGCGATGTAAAACGACGTGAAATTAACCTTCTTTTTGTGTTCTGATGCTAAACTGGTTCCACTCGCATCAAGAGAAGCGTTTGCTCGTTCTTGAGATCTAAGACTCAGCATAACGTCAGCTAAAATATCATCTAGAAAAAGAGGGATGGCGAGTTTTTGTCTCGCGTATTGCTAATATCGCTTCATTTTCATACTGTGAAATAGGGTCAAAAATGTGATGTTTCCTTGTGTGGGTTCACCCAAATTTTCACATATATTGCACTGAACGCGTCAAAACACTTAATAAATACTGGACGCACAATCTTGTAAGGTTAAGTTCGCTTAATACGTCTTAAGCAATCGTACGCTGGGACACGCTGAAAGCCGATTTAACCCGTTACTACAACAACAACAAAATTAAGAAAGTGAGGGGATTTGAACCGATATAAAACAGCTCCAACGAATGGATTGGGTGGTAGGTAGGTATGTATCATTTAACCATTTCAGCAGCAAAAGTGATATTTATTATAAAGAAATGATCGAAATTTCACAAGACTTTTTTTTATCTATCATAAAATAAACACTGTACAGAACTGAATATTTATATGAATTAGTTGGACAATAAATATCTGAAATGGACAAAAAAATCACGTGTAAAAAGCACATTTTTTGAATCATTTCATCTTTGCCTACAGTAACATTGAATACACTTAACTTTACAGTACCTAATAAAAAGAATGAAAGTAGGTCCTAGATTTGTGTGTGTGTGTGTGTGTGTGGGAGGGGGAGGGGGGGGGGGGGGGGGAGGGGGGGTGGAACCAGATCAAGTCCCGTCATTTTTACACTATTAAGAAATACTAATTACAAAAATGATCCTGTACATAAAAAACTCATAAAATTTCAGAACTTACAAGGAAAATAGACAAATAAAGAGCCTAGCGTTTGCTTCGCTTCTGAAGTTGCAGGTGGGAGTTTTTTTTTAATCCAAATATAAAACTCTTTCAGGCCTCCTTCTGCTACAGGATTCCGTTCTTTTTTTAATGCTTCACTTCCTTTGCTTTTCAAACTTACGAACGGGACAGCTTCGAAATCGTGCCTTTAAAACGGAAATTAAAATTGAAAACAGACCTGGCACAGTGCAAATTTCCGCCAGTTCTACTCACAATAGACTGACCCCGAGCTAATAAAGCACATTCTCACCCTCACATGCTTTTTTTTTAATATATATATATATGAAGGGGGGGGAAGGGGTACCTGAACTGACAATTATTTGGTAAACTAATAGACCCTAAATGGCAGACTCCCCAAGTCGTGTGGATTTGTTACACCCAGTGTAAGTGCCGCCAATGCTCAATGATTTCCAGTTTATTACATATTGTTTCAGGTTTGGAACCGTGGAAGACAAATCAAAATTGTGCGAGAGTGACATTGATGTCGCCGTATGTAACTGGCAACTCCAGAAAAGTTTGATAACTATGCATATACTGTATAATACTCTATTAACACCTGCAAACAAAAGAACCCAATCTGAGCACCTGACCCCGATGATGAGGGTGAGGATGAGGATAACAGGGTGGTGTGGGTTGGGGGGGCAAGGGAAGCAGTCGAGTCAACTTGACCACAGTTTAGCTAAGTGAGTGTCCAATATGAAGTTTTGCTGCTGCAATCGAGGGGGGGGAAGGGGTGGGGGTGAGTTTTCACAGTTCAGCTCATGTTTCAAGGCGCTCGATTCAAACAGCGGCGGGTTATTTTTTTTCCAGCAAAATTTGGCTCCATTATATAACAGCAGAACCACACTCCCACCTCCCCAACCCCCCCCCCCCCCCCCACCCGCCCTGCTCCAGAGCCTTCCACAGCAACAAGCGGTTATAACACACTTGCATACAGTACAGCAGATCATAATTTGTCTTATGAGTCTAAAAACACAAATAATTAAAAAAAAACACAGATGTACCACTGATATAAGACACACACTGATTGTCTCTCAGGACTACATATGAACTCCTTATAAACACTTTAAATAAAGTAGTGCATCTGGGACAGCCAGTTCGTAACAATTCACACAGCCCTGATGGTTCGGTTTGTTTGTGTGTGTGGGTTTTTTTTTTCCTCTTTCGATGCCAGTCTTAAACAGCTGGTTCACATTGGAAAACGGTGCTTTAACATTGGAATAATCGCCAGTCAGTTCAATTCTATCCATTCCAAGCGTTTAACTGGGTTGGGATGTGTGTGTGTGTGTGTGTGTGTGTGTGTGGGTGGGTGGGGGGGTGAGGGAAGGGAGAGAGAGGGGGCGTGGGGTGGGGGTGGTGAAGAGGGAAGGGAGGAAAGTTGGCTGGAAGTACTGAAATGATCACAAGTTTTTGTTGTGGTTGTGTGTGTGTGTGTGTGTGTGTGTGTGTGTGTTCTGTCCATTCCAAAGGGTTTTCACGTTGGAATCATTCGTCCAAGTTTTCAAAGGAGAAAGAGAGAGAAGAGAGAGAGAGACAAGAGTTTCCCAGCACTTCACAAGACCTGAAACTTCCACGAGGACGTCTGATCTTTGTAATCCAAGCAGTCAGCATTAAAGTTGAGTTTCCAAGACGCGGTCTGGTCTTTATAATCCAAGCAATCGGTGGCGTTAAAACCTAAGCCGCCGGTCGGGTAGCCCTGGGCAGAGAGGGAGGCTGGAGACTGGTTGAGGTGACCGGCCGTCACTGCGTTGGTGCCCATGGGGCTGAGAGCCGTGCCCGGGCCGGAGAGCTGGTGGTGCATGGGGGACAGGTAGGAGCCGCAGTCCATTCCTCCAAAATACGACGTGGATCCAGCGTAGCCTTGCGTGTAGCCCGAGGCCTGGGTGTAGGTCATGGGGTAGGAGCGCTGCATGCACGACGAGGAGGTGGAGAGGGAGTCGGGGGCGATGGGGGAGATGGACGCCGGGCTCCAGATGGACACCGGGGCGCTGCTGCTGGAGATAGCCGTCACCGGGGTGCTGGAGGGCGGCGTGAACTGGCCGCTGGCCCCGCTCTCTGAGCTGGGCTCCCGGGCCGGGGAGCTCTTCTTCTTAGACGGTCGGATTTTATTCTGCCCTCCGTTCTGCTGCTGTTGCTGCTGTTGCCGGCATTTCGCTCGACGATTTTTGAACCAAACCTTTCCCCCACCACCACCACCACCACCACACACACACACACACACACACAGACACACACACACAGACAGACACACAGATAAACACACAAAAACAGCAGAAATTAATTCAATTTCGGGCACAAATCGACGTTGATCTGAACAGTTTTAACTCAGGAAAGAGATCTCCGAGGCCACACGTTTGCTTCGAAATGTCTTGATTATTTGGTGAAGCAATTAAAAACATTGCATCAATTTGAAGTCTCTTGTTTATTTCACGCGAATAAATGTATTTTATATTTCTTTTGTATGACAAACTCATTTCCTTGTTACTTTTACTTGTCACTATAAAATTGCTCCAAATCGCAAGATGCAACGAGGATATCAAAGGAGGCAACTAATTACATTAACATTAACCCTTCAGACTTCGAAACGTTAATTTACTTTACAATATGTAAGCAACAACAAAGCTGGAGGTTTGGTGTCACTGCAAAGTCTATCCAAACTCGATTGGTTTTTAATGGGGGGGGGGGAACAAATAAAAAAAAACACATTTTGTTTCAGAACAGCTCTAAAGTGAAGCATCATAACACATATAATATTGCAATAACCATATATATATATTAGTACAATCGTACAAATGTTATTTTTCCAATTTGGCTGTATGTTGCATCGTTCCACTCTCCCCCCCCACCCCCCCCCCCCCCCACACACACACACACCCCAATTCAATCCAGAAAATGACTAGATTTTCAGTGTTCAAGAGCCAGGTTTGATGATAGACTGTAGTGTAGCTTAAGTTTTGGGAACACTCCAACCCCCCCCCCCCCCCCCCCCCCACCCCCCCCCCCCCCCCCCCCCCCCCCCCCCCCCCCCCCCCCCCCCCCCCCCCCCCCCCCCGAAAGAAAAAAACTCTCCCACCAAACCAGAGATACAGACGCAGCGCTAAAAATAAAACTGCGGGCGTGTTTGATGCGCTTCTTCCTTGCCCCCCCCCCCCCCCCACATCCCCCTCCAACCCCCACCCACCACCCCCAGACCCCTCGCTCCTCACCTGGACTCTGGATTCGGGCAGATTGATCTTCAGAGCCACCTCCTCCCGCATGAAGATGTCCGGGTAGCGAGTCTTGGCGAAAAGCGCCTCAAGGACATCCAGCTGAGCTCGGGTGAACGTGGTTCTCTCTCGCCTTTGCTTGCGCGGCGTGGCTGAGTAAAAGCAACATACACATTCAAAGAACAACATGGAGTAAATCGGAAATTCAGTCCACAAGTTTTTTTTTAAAAAAAGCAAGAGGAGGTGGGGGGTGGGGGGGAGAAAAACAACACATTTTACGATTCTAAAAAGCTTATTACGTTAAAGTCGGTTTGACCTCCGCTTTACTGAAACACGCTTTCGTTTAGTTTAACAGCAGCCACTTGCAATGCGAGTGTTTGCCTCAGCCAGTCTACGTTATAATGCGTTTAAAAATCAGTCAAACCCTTCTGAGCGAATCGTACACATAAAGTTTAATGTCAAAGATAAAGTTTAGTAAAAGTACAGCCTTTTGCGAGGTTCCTAAAGGACGGGGGAACTCTGCAAAAAAAAAAATGACAATCCCGATTTCACTTTTTCTGCTCCCTAATTCTCAACAAACTATAAATACAGAAAATATATTTAACTGTTTTCATTTTTTTTAAAAAATCACACGCGCGTGTTTAAAAAGAGCTGTCGATTAAAGTTTTTTAGGTGCAACATTTGAGGTCAGCATTGAATTCAACAACAGCTCCCCTGTCCTTGGTGGGTTTTTTTTTTGCAATGAAGCGGTTGAAAGTAGAATTTCAACCCATTTTTGGGAAATTCACAGAAAGCGATTCCTACCAGGATAGCCGACCGAGGGGTGTAGCAGATCCATGCCTGACGCGGTGAGACTCAGTCCGTTCACTGGGTAGGGAGGTTGCTTGAGATAAGACATCATGCTAAAGTTTGGTGCGTTTGGCAAAGTTGCGATAAATACGAAAAAAAAATGCAAGGGTGTCTGGCTCCTTTCTTTCTCGGCTCTTCGATCGACTTTGGAGAGAAACGGAGAAATAGAAATGTTTTTTTTTAAAAAAAAAGGCCCTGGGCGAATCTGTATCTGTTCACAGAGCGGAAAAGCTGGTGAGAGAAGGAGAGAACGCTTGTGTCTGATCACTTGAAAGTATCTGATCTCCCTACAGATCCCAGTCTGTCTCTTATGAAAGCAGCCCCAGACCCCCAGCTGTCTCTTGGACCAGGGGGGGATGCAGACCAGATAAACATGTCCCCAAAACCTGCTACACCCATTATTGCAACGCGCCTCGCACACAACAATAACCATCGCAATTGTTAGCATTGCAATTTGCATAGGTCCCATTAGTTAGCACCAGTCTGTTATCACGCTAATTGGCTCAAACAGAACTTGATGAGGACCATTTGCTTAGACAATGGGGCTTTCTGGCCCGAGAGAGAGAGAGAGAAATCGTCAAACTATTGATAACAAAGACTTTAGAGCGAAACAAAGCAGGCGATGTGGAAAAAATACCCCCCCCCCCCCCCACCACCCCGCAGACCCACAACACTCATACTATTTGCAACCTAATGGAGTTTTTACATTTATAATTGAATATAGATTCATGTTACAATTCAATCCCCCCCCCCAAAAAAAAATGCAAGTTTTTTTTTGGGGGGACGGGGCGAGGGGGGGTGATAACGTGAAAAAATGCAACACGCTTATTTTTCCCCACTAAATTAGCCCAGATTCAAGGGCAGAGATTGCTTTATATTACATAGTGGCGGTGGGTGCATTAGAGTGGGTCAAAGCAGCAGCAAAATTAGCAATCGTTTCTGCAGGAAATTGACATGGGGGTGGGGGGGGAGACGGCTACCTATGAAAGTGTATTGCGCTGAATGTTAAAATGCAGCCTTATTTAATTAAAAGGGTTTAGCGCCAAACAGCACAACACAGGACGCGAGATTGCAGTGTGTGTGTGTGTGCATTGCGAAACTTTACACCTCTTTTGCGCTTCTATAACACACTGTTTGCATTCTCAAATCACAAACCCGTCTCAACCTGAAGACGCCATCAGGATTTTCTTTGCAAAAGGCATTGCACATAAACTCCCTCGTTGACCCCCCCCCCCCCCACCCCCAGCACTCAACACTTATGTCTCAAAAAGCATTCGGCACAGTTTTAAGATGGACTTGTTAGTAAGGATAGATCTTTCTCCCTGTTTCCGCTTCAGAAGCTGAACTCTAACGTGTTTCGCCTTCAAATATGGCGCAGCGCCTGAGAGTTGGGATGACTCAAACTTAGATATTATTAATAGAACAAGGCGATCTGGCAATTTTTTTCTCTGGCAACGTTTTTTTTTCCCAAACGGAAAAGGAGAGGATGCAAATATATATATATATAGAGAGAGAGAGAGAGAGGGAGAGAGGGGCTGAACTTTACTTGACTGGATCAATAAGTGGGAAATATGTGCGGTTGCTTCGCCACCTGTCTGTCTAAAAACGGTCAAAAATGCTTTCCATCTGAAACACATACAACTGAACGCTTCACACAGCCCGCGTTCAGCACCGCTCCCCACGCCCCCACCCCTCTGTCTAATGATTCACTATTTCACACTATATATAATCTATCCCCCCACCACTGCTCCACGCCCCCCCCCACCCCACCCCCCCCCACCCCCCACACACACACGCACACAAACAAATCCTACTTTTAAGCACGCACCAAATATAAAAATGTACATTTCCCAGACTTCTCCCTCCCCAAATGTCAATCACAACTGGTGAAAAGAAACATAATTTGTCCCTTGTTGCTTCCCCCCATCCTTCGCCCAGAACCACATCAACAAGTTTAAACCCGGAACGAATTATCGAATGCAATGCAGTCGCCACTGACTCTACCTTGAAGGATGGAGCCCTAAAGTAAAGGCTGGTGGTGTTGGGTGGGTGGGTGGGGGGGAGTGTGAGCAGTTTTTATAAGCGCCGAAGCTGATTCTGTCTGGCTTTCCCCAACACAATCTGTCACTTTTTGGGGGGTTGGGGGTGGGGGGGGGAAAAACAATCCTATCTACCAGTTGCTCGGGCGATCGGTCGATCCGTAATTACCCCCAGTCCAGCATGCGCCCAAGAATTAATTATAATAAATGTTTTTCTTGATAAATTAACGAGATAATCCGGGTGGCACACGTTTGCTTAATTACTGGACGCTGCAAAAAAAAATAGCCCAGACTCAAGACCCAACCAACGCCTCCGTCTCTTTCTCTCTCTCTCTCTCTCTCTCTCTCCCCCTCCCCTCTCTCTCCAGATCGTCGCTGTAACATTTGCTCGGATTAATTTTATGCTTGATGGAAATGAAACAAAGCTGCGAAGTCGAACCCGTGTTTATTAAAAACCTTCATGATTAACCTCTTACAGGGTTCACAGTCTCGCAATCCTAGTGGGGGAGAGAGAGGGAGGTGGGGTGGGGGGGAAGAGACTCGGGGGATTTCTCTGAACACCAGAATAAACACTTTATTTCCACATTTTGACACTATTCGTGAATGTGACACAGTTGCAGCGCAGAGGCTCCTGATCTGATTCTGAATTAGAGCAAACAACTAAAAAGGGAAGGATTTCGCTAAGAGAAGATAATTGATGCTAAGGCGTTTTTTCGCTGCATTTTTTGTTTTGCTTCCCTCCACATATACATATACACAGCCCAGTGCAAATTTAAGTGAGAGCGATTTTCTTTTAACACAACAGCACAACCTGACAACTGATCTGGGCCCTCTTGTTGCGAAGGGAGGCTTTTTGTAATACGTTCTTCGCATAACTTTTGCACAGGCACAGTCTGGGCAAAGTTTCATATCTACAAGGGCTGTGCAAATGGGATTTGACTCCTTGCTATCAGTGCCACAGGCGAGAGGGGAGCTAACATTTTTAGCAGTCTCGCTTGTGTACGTTTTGTGCAATTAATATAGCTTTTGTCCAGCCACAACGCACAAAGCAGAGGCCATACATCGCTTCCTCCCCCCCACCCATCTCGACAGAAAAAGAGTTCTTTACTCTAACACAACTCATGCGACCGAAAATTCAGGCGTTGTACTCCTCTCCCCCCGCCCCCCCCAAAAAAAAATAGCCTCTTAATCGTTTAACACCTTTGATCTGTCCGGAACTTGAAAGCAGGGAGATGGATCTAAAGGGCTTGAACCTTGGAAAAAAAAGTGCGCTCAAAAATGTATTCCTTTCTGGACACTTTAAATCTGAAAGAGAAGCGGAACTCGCGACAAATATCGTTAACAGGTGCTGAGATTTTAACTGACACTAAAACGTACATTAAGCAACGGGTAACACTTAGTGCAATGATGCATGTTTAGTTTTTTTTAATTTTTAAAAAAAACTTTAGCAGTCGATGCTAAGCATTTCTATATTAAATCTCGTTTAAAATGTATTGTAACCTCCTAGATGCATTCAAAAACCAGCAGCAACTAACTGTAAATTGTGTTTTTTTTTACAGTGGAAAGTTACAAGGGTATTTGCAAACACGCCTTTGCAAATATACACGTGATTGAGACAACACAAAACTCGGTTAAACTTTTAGCAGAGTGTTAATATTTTCCAATGGGCAATGATGCGTCTTAGTTAGATTTTGTACAATTAATAGTCCACATTACTTGTCTGTAAACTGTATTCCTAACCATTCAACTTTGTTGGTTCTATTTTTTAACACTTTTTTTTTAAGCGAACGACTTCCCCCAGCGAACGAACATATGTCGATTGCTTTCGCATCCAAGTCTACAATTTGAGTCGGAGGTGTGTGCAAAAAAAAAGTCCATTTGTGTGTGTGTGTCTAGTAATTCTCCTCACTGCAGACTATTGATCCAACCCTCTGGTCAGAAAAAAAAAGCTGTTTGTCAATAATTGGGAAGCGTTGGATTTAATTCCAGTTGGATTTTTTTTAATGATAAATCATTGACAGGAAATATCTACATCTACATCCCGGTACATCTCACAAGAGGCTGTGATTGTAGGGGCAGATCGTCGATATCAGGAAGAAGGAAGGGAGGGAAGAGGTGGGGGGGGGGGGGGGGAGGGGGGGAAAATCTGGTGAAATCCACGCCTCCTCAATTATCTCTGTGTTTGAACATTCATTAAAAAAGCAGAGGGAAAAACCAGCCGAGGGACTCGAGTCGCGAGCACATGAAAACAGGAGGAGGAAAAAGCGAGATTCGCTTCACAACACGCATCGCGTTTCTGAAACTGACTACAGTACAGCAAAGACACACACACACACACACACACACACACATACACACACGCACACGTCTATCCGAAGCGACATAACAGTTATCAATTATCACAACAAACACAAAAGCATGCGGTAAATCACTTGCAAAACTTGCCCTCTCTGTCCTCTCACCCCTCCTCCATCTCCCTCCCTACCAAAATCCCCACCTCCCCATTCTGTAAAACAAACACACATAATTCTAGGATTTGCTACAGCATTGCACTGGACAGCTTTTACACATATGGAAATACCTTGTAAGCTTTATCAAACGTTGTTCCCGCCGCGTTTGGTACCACATCAGAAAATGTTTTCTCTGATCTGTTGGCTTCCAAATTGCCGAGACACACCAATAACACAACGCGCGCTTATCTATAACTCTATCTATACATTTATATATATATATATAAAGACAATTCATTCACCTGCTTTGTAATTTTGGATCAAGTTGAGGTGTAATGCACCCAAAAAAAATAGGCTTCCACGTTCTTTTGATGGTCTTTTGTCCCTGAAATCAAACAAACAAACATAGCAGAAATAGGTTAGAGTGTGCGGAAATAATCGATTTTGAGAATCATTTCAAGTGTTAGAAACAGGTTCCAAGCTATCCACCAAAGAGAGGGAAATCGATGGAACCAAAAGATTTAAGCAGGCGAGGAATGAACCTGTTTTAAAAGCAGAGCTGCGTTGCCTGGGAGTGGAAAATGGTTGAGATTGCTGACTTGTGCTGGTCTCTCCCTCCCTCTCTCTCTCTCTCTCTTCCCTCCCTCTCTCTCTCTCTCTCTCCTTTCTCTGAGACTTGCTGAGAAAGCGCCTTTGGTAACTTTTTGACGCAAACTCTACAGCCAATGGCAGAGAGAGCATGATTGACACATCTCAGCAGAAGCGGGCAGAAAATAACACCCAGCAGGAGGAGAGAGAGAGAGAGAGAGGGAGAGAGAGGGATTGGGGGAAAGAATAAAAAAAAACTGCTCCAAGGAGAAAACAAGAAATAACCCAAAGAAGAACATTTATTACATATATATACATTATATATGAAAAATAAACGAGCGATGGGGAGAGAAAATGTGGCATTAGAGGAGAGGAGGAGGAAGAGGGAGGGGGGAGAAGGAAATTGG